CCGCACATCGCCATGGCCGCGCCGCGCGCTCCGCCCTCCGGCGGCAACGCGGCCCGCGCCGCGCCGTTCCGCCCCGCGGAGGCGGCGCGGGAGAGGAGGTGCTGCGCTGGCACCGTTTACTTTGCAGGGTACCTGTGTGTAGCGCTACGTGCTCGAAAATAAACTTTTTTTTTTCTTTTTTTCCCCTCACAGAAATAAAGCACTGCCGTGCCCAAACACATTTTCATGGTAACGCTGCTACCGTGGCAGGCCCCGGTTCCCTTCCTCCCCGCAAAACGCAGCCTCTAGGTGTGAAAAGCCCTGCTGGCACATTTGAGCTTCCTGAGACTTGTTGCTATGTCTTCACCTTGGAGTTCTTACAAAAATTAATGCTACTAGTATTCATATTCCACCTAATTTTAGACTATTGTGGCAACTCCTTAGCTGTGTACTCTCATAGGTACTTATCAATGCCAGTATCTAAGTATTTGCTCTGGGCTTTAGCCAGAACTACCTTATTTTTTATGCTGCTGGACAGCTGAATTGTCTTAAGCCCTGAATCAAGCTGAACTTAAGAAGCGTGCCCACACCATGAGACTCCTCACCTTGCTGTGTGGGCAGGAGAGGGTGCAAAAGCACCACACGCGAGGGCAGATCCGCAGCCAGAGCAAAGTGCTAGCCCCTCCGAGGCCTCACCAGCCACAATGGCACAGCCCCACAGCCCCCTGTGCTGCCACCCAGGGCAGGGAGGCATGGACGCCTGGCGGAGCACGACCCAGACGTGTTTAACCCACTGCTCTCCGGGCTCAACGCAAATCCACATCATTAACTGATGCTATGAGGCGCTACCAGACTCGTTCGTGAAATCTGTGCCCAGCTGTAGGTCTTTTCCCCTTCACACCTGCAGGATGTTTCTGCTGGGTTACATGGAGGAGACACTCAAGTTGCATCACACAGGCATTCATGTTGCCTGAACCAGATATAAGCTTGACATCCATGGTTAAAATAATTCAACAACAAAACACTGCAAACTTTCTAACCTCATCTAGTTACCTTCTGTGAGATTACTTCTCATTTCAATGGTTTTTCTTTTTGCGCTTCCCCTTGCTGCAATACAGCGCTGCCCATCAGGCACACAAAGCCTGAACAAATTCACAGGGAATGCACAGAAGTTTAGTTCTTGGATAAGGCAAACATATTCTTGAATTATCTTCTTTCTGCTCTTACTGCAGTTAGAAAGAACTTGCTGTTAGAAAGTGTTGCACAGTATATTCTGAAAATATGCTATTTTGAATTTAAAGGGAAAAAAAAGAAACACTAAATGAAGACTACAGCAGAGTCTCCAAGTAGTTTTCTCTCAGTAGCACCTAAACACACAATAAACATTATTATTCCATCTGTGGAAAGCTTCCCTACCCACCTGCTTTCCATCCAACAAAGCTCACAGTGGACTTAGAAGTCAGTAATAACATCTCAGAGCTACTGAGGAATACGAGCTCAAAGAAAAGAAAACCTTTATGCTAAGAAACAGTTTCCTTAAAACTTACAACAAGCCTTCCCGTAAACTGTTTTGTGTGTGTGTGTATTAGACTTTGCAAATTAGTTAATAACTTTTCATTTATTTGGCAAAGGAAAGGCAAAATATGGAGAATGAGAACTAATACTTACATCATCACTGCTTTTATATTTGCTATTTCAAAAAAAAAAAAAAAAAAAAAAAAGCAGCAAGTTACATGTCAACTGACAAGAGCCCAGCCTCTTTCTCTTAAGCTCCCCCAAGAACGGCCGTCAAAGACCCAAATGAGAATAGATTTATTTTCCAAGCCAGGAAGAGTTACTAGGCCGTATTTCACAAAGCCTGGTGTTGCTCAGTCTTTATGGTTAAGACTTTCTTAACTGCTACTGCATGGTTTATCCATTGTAGCAGCCTGTTCCTGGTCCCAGATTTATATACCATGTACCTTCAGATACTTACAGTTTCTGTTGTATTTATGGCTCAAGCAATACTTGCATGGAAACCATTTTCCATTTGATTCCACACCATCTCTTTATTTATATGTTAAAAATATTTTCAAGGCATTTCTCCCAGAGTCACTGCATAATATTCAAAGTTGTATATCTTGCTCACCGCATGTCCTTCTCTCCTGCGCTGCCAAAATATTCTTATTTTCAAATGTAAAATAGAATGACAACTGAATTTAGACTTTTCTACAACTACCATCTTTGTATATATGTCTTAAATTAAGATCACTTGAAATATATGCAATCAAGACCGGATGTTATTTTAGCCTTTACAGTTGAAAAGCACTTGAGAACAGCATTACCAGAATACAATGCAGTGTACAATACGAATGTGAGGCTGACACCATCCCAACGTACTGTTCATTACTGGTGTGCTTAGTAAGATTTCTGAAACAGTTACATACAGCAGTTGTATGCTCTCTTTATTGGCATACAGTCACTAACCATATAAGTGCATTTGTGTCAAAAAATAATTTTAATTTTTACAGGAAGTGACAAAATTCCAGTTGTTGGCAGAGTATATAAAGCTTTTCATACACAATCTTTTTATTATTATTATTATTATTGAACAGATAAAATCTGAACTGAAAATCAAATGCAATGCATCATGGAAACTGTATTCCTCAACAGTATTTCTTCCACGTAATTTCAGTTTTTCTTTCTCTCAAAAAAAGCAAGTCCTTCTACGATATCTGACAAGTTGTACTACCTACTCCTCAGTAAAATCCTCCCTTTAACCAGGAACCAATCATGTACTGAGAGTAGATCAAGATATCTCAATATTTATTAAAAAGTAAAAGTAGCATGATGCAAATCACCCCTTACTTTGCTGTCAGGTATGACTGCTTAGTCTACTTCATGTAAAAGTTCTTCAATTTGGAGGGGACATATTATTTGTAACTGAACTGAATGATTAGTTAGCTGTAGAAGTGTATGACAAAAATGCATGTGTGGCCCAGCCATTAACCTGCTCAGTAATTGTACAGACATGGCTTCTTTGCCAAAGCACCAAACTTGTTTCTGCATCTTTTATGAAAAAAACTGACATAGGCAAAAATGCTACACAGTTGAACTTTACATTTAGTTAAATGAACTAATCTGCTCAAGAAGGCAAGCTTTGCAAATTGCTGACACCAGCATATATTTTTCTTATAAGAGAGAGCCACCAAAGAGGCCTCTCACTTTGATGCCTTTCATCTTTTTCACACTTGCTATTAAACGACACCTTCTAGGCACAGATCATTAATCTTTTTTAAATTCTGTAACAGTCGCTGGCCTAGGGTTGTTTTGGTTGGTCTTTATTTGCCTGTTTTCATTTTATTAGTGTTATTTCACAGTCTTGTTATTAACAATGGTTTATGTCCTGAATAAGGAGGTAATCAGTGACTTCTTTCATTTTATGGTAATACTAAAAATCAAAGATTTAATTAAGTTGCTTTTTAAGCAATGTATTGACTTAACAGGAATCACGGTTTTCGTAACACTAACAAAAATAATCAGTTTCAATGCTGACTACACACTTGATGCATGTGCCAAAATGTAAAGTTTATCTGTTGTCTGTTTTCTAACATGTACTGAGTCCCTTTATAAATATATTCAAGAAAACACCTAAAATGCTGAGTCTCGTTCCTGTAATAACCCTGACTATCCAGAAAGTTTTCTCTGAGCGTCAAATAAAAGTGGGTGAGGAATATAGTTCCAGAGCTTAACACTGTCACACTCCATT